GGTGCCGTGAATGTTCATTGTTGAGTGGGTTTTTTTCGTTGTTGCTTGTAGAGATTGTGTCGTTTGATGTGAAGGTGAACTCTGCTCTGTCAATATAATTGGTGCATTAGTGGTGTTCAGTGTACTTTGCGATTTATCTGTTATATGCACAGATGCTGTGAGTTTTGATGTTAAAGGTTCTTGATTTTTGGTTGACACCTTTGAACCATTCGAATGATGTGTTGTGTCAGAAACTGTCAAGTTATCAAGTTTGGGTTCTGTTGTTTTGGGCAATGTAGTTAGTGAAAGTGTTGTTTTAGAAGCAGTTGTCATATATAATGTTGTTTCTGTTTGTGTTTCAGAAGCTGAAGTGCTGTCTGACGTCACTTGAGCAGTTGGTGTCTGTGATGCATGTGTGGTTGGGTAGTTCATTGTAGACGTAGGTTGTTGTGATGTGCTGGTATAAATAGTGGTTTGAAAAGTGGCACTTTGAGCATTAGTGTTAGATATAGTTGTTTGTATGGTTGTTTCATTGACACTGGTTTCATTGTAACTCGTTGTATCTGAAAATAGTGTTAAATAACAAATATAGTTAAATCCTGAATATCGATATCTTTTTGTTTCTTCTCCATCGTAATTCAATAAAATCATGAAACAAGGCGGGGTTCAAAAATTAGAGTAGGATAAAAAAAATGTATTTTACACAAAAACACACGCACTTTGTCCACATCAAATCCGATGCATTGAAATGACTACCGCTCTCACTCGATTGCTATATTATATAGATCGATATAATGGTTTTTGAATTAAGATTGGGGATACGAAATGTAATTGTTTGTTACTGGAAAGTAACATGATATTTCAGCCGGGATAGTTCTTACTGACCCAGGAGTTAATTTATTATCATGAGCATTACATTCACTATGCTATGTGTGAGATAATATTATTAAACATAGACTACACACTTACTTGTTGAACTATTAGCTCCTGTAAGCAGCACGGATGGAACAATAATCGCAACACAAATGATAATTGCTCCAGCTGAAACGCCAACAATAACAGAAGTGGCCATTCCAGCACCAGCAGCAGCCCCGACTGCACCTCCAGAGCCACCTTCCGAAGAGCTGTTTTGGCAGCATAATTGTTGCTTTATAATGATAATAATAGTGCATGTGTTATGACGTCTCAGCTTGTTCATTGTGCATCAAACATTATAGACAAGATAACTGGCAGTGCGTAGTAATGTACATCATGATTCCAATACAATTTCAAATTCAAGTATTCATGTAATAACTACTGGTCATATACAAAGTAGCTCGATAAAAGAATGGCTCAGTTTATCTAAACAAGGTAACCATTATTTATGTGTACATTTACTCACTTGCTCAATAACATCTTACGGACTTGTATCTCAGACACAGACAGAAAGCACGCACAAATAAACACACACATGTAAGTACACCTTTAGAATTAGAACATCAACAAAGGAATTGTCATATGTACCGTAGACGAGCTTGCAATCTAGAAAGTTACATGACATTTCAAATCTATTTTAGCATCATGTAATAATGATAATAAACATTGATATTTCGGTCATGATGATCAATCTGATTGCAAATCAGTGTTTTTCACTGCAAGGTGCATGTGTGTGACGTTTTAAGCCTGCAACGTTTACTGGAATGAACAAAACACACATATTTCAGCACCTTAGACCCGAGTTTATGTTGATTTGTATTGTATTGTATAGAAAAAATGTAACACTATCATTGTAATATGTGTAATATACAATACATTTTCATTTATT